TTGACAAAGTGTGCTCATGAACAAGATGCTAAACTTTCCAAGCTAACAAATAAGATGGATAACATGATCGAAAGAAAATCGAATCAAGAATATTTGACGCTTCCTAGAATTCAAGACGAAGGAAAGTCTTGCATAAAGCAAACAAAGATCAAACAGATTCATCTCTCCGATGGAGGTTTGATTCCGATTGATCAATTGAAGGACATTATCATAGAGGCTATCAAAGACAAGTCTGAGTCCCTATCCAAATTTTCTTATACATATGCAAAGCCATATACACAAAGAATTGATAACTTAAAAATGTCTGAGGGTTATCAACCTTCTAAGTATCAATAATTTGATGGCAAAGAAAATCCCAAACAACATATAGTGCACTTTATCGAAACTTGCAATGAAGCTGGGACGTATGGTGATTATCTCGTTAAAGAGTTCGTTCGATCTCTCAAAGAAAATGCCTTTGATTGGTACACAGATCTCGAACCAAATTCTATAGATTGTTGGGAGCAGTTAGAGCAAAAGTTCCTCAATCGTTTCTATAGCACAAGACGCGTCGTTAGTATGATTGAACTTACAAAGGCTCATCAAGGTGAAAATGAGCTAGTTGTTGACTTTACCAATCGCTGGAGAAGTTTGAGCCTCAACTGCAAAAATCGTCTTAGTGAAACTTCTAGTATTGAAATGTGCATCAAAGACATGAATTGGGGTCTTCACTACATCTTGTAAAGATTAAAGCCCAATACATTCGAAGAGTTGACAACTCGTGCACATGATAAGGAATTAAGCTTGACTTTAAGAGAAGATCAACGATCTCCTGTCTATGAAACTCATGAAGATGAAGATATAGAAGAACTCCAAAGTGGGGGAAGGTCTACATCTGAAGATGACTTTGAAAAGTCAATGTGTATCTAAACGCTCCTTAACGCATGAGCCTAAACTGCAAGTTACAATGCTTCTTAACGCATGAGCCTAAATTGCAAGTTACAATGCTCCTCGTCGCATGAGCCTAAACTACAAGTTGAAATGCTCCTAGATGCACAAGCCTAAACTGTATATCACTAGACTCTTCAAATTCAAGATAAATCTCTAAGTTGGAAAGCTCTTTATATTTGAGTTAAATGTTCAAGTTCAAATGATCCTTAAAACACGAGCTTAAACTGTATGTCATAAAACTCTTTAAATTTGAGTTAAATCTTCAAGTTGAAATGCTCTTTGAAACAAGAGCTTAAATTGTATATCGCAAAGTTCTTCAAATTTGAGTTAAATCTTCAAGTTGAAATGCTTCTTGAAACACGAGCTTAAACTGTATGTCACAAAACTTTTCAAATTAGAACTAAATCTCCAAGTTAAAATGTTCTTTAAGGTATGAGCCTAAACTACAGGTCACTCCTGGCCTGCAAGAATATAAATTGTGTATGGCACACCCTAAAAAATTTTAAAAAAATCATTCACTCTCCCAGAACTACGTTGTGACTTGATCCTCTTCAGTAAGGTACGTAGGCGCTTAGAACCATATTCTAAGTTCAGTTGCATGAGTGTCAAAAAACCACATGTTCCCCCTTGATCTGTCACATGAAAGTTAAAGCTATGAGTAATCTTTCATAAAACTTCAGACTTGCACCAAATGGGGGTAAACCCCTATGAAAAAAAGTTGTTTCAAGATAAAGTCTTCAAGAATCTCCAAGTATACAAGTTAAAGTCTTCAAATTCTCCGATTATACATGTTGAAGTATTAAAATCTTCCATTTCTACAAGTTAAAGTCTTCAAATTTGTCAAGTCTGCAAGTTGAAGTTTTCAAATTCTTCAAGTCTGTAAGTTTAAGTCTTCAAATTCTTCAAGCGTAGTCTTTGAAAGATAAAATATCTCGACAAGACTTGAAGAAGGGGGCATTTGTTGTCATATAAAATTTATTAAATATAAATTTATAAAATGATTCAGATTATATTAAATTTATGAATATATTAGTTCAAATAAATATTTTGGATTACTATAATTGAGTCAATTATTTAAATCTTATAAATATATATTTAATTAAAGTCCGCTCAATAAAGCCCATATGTGATGTCACTTAAATCTGATTGGTCGAAGGGAGTCCTCTTCCAATCACAACTCCTCTATTTTAAAATTATAAATAGGGGTCCTCATAATTCAGAAAAGAGAACAAAGAATTTTAAACAAAAAGCTAGAGAAAGCTCATGGATCAAAAGCCACAAATTTCTCTACAAGCTACAAGTTTAAGAATTCAAGAACTCAAGAATTCAAGTTTAAGAATTGAAGATTTGAAGAAGTCAAGATCAAGATAAAGTTCAAATTCAAGAACGATCAAGATCAAGACCGCCGGATTCAAGATCAAGCTCGAAGCCCTTGAATTCAACTAGAAGTCAACATTAAGATAAAGTTCAAGTTCAAGAACGATCAAGATCAAGACCGATGAATTCAAGAACAAGCTCGAAGCTCTTGGATTCAACTAGAAGTCAAGATCAAGATAAAGTTCAAGTTCAAGAACGATCAAGATCAAGACCGCCGAATTCAAGAACAAGCTCGAAGCTCTTGGATTCAACTAGAAGTCAAGATCAAGATAAAGTTCAAGTTCAAGAACGATCAAGATCAAGACCGCCGGATTCAAGATCAAGCTCGAAGCCCTTGGATTCAACTAGAAGTCAAGATAAAGATAAAGATAAAGTTCAAGTTCAAGAACGATTAAGATCTAGACCGCCGGATTCAAGATCAAGCTCGAAGCCCTTGGATTCAACTAGAAGTCAAGATCAAGATAAAGTTCAAGTACGATCAAGATCAAGACCACCAGATTCACGATCAAGCTCGAAGCCTTTGAAATCAACTAGAAGTTAAGATAAAGTTCAAGTTCAAAATCAAGATAAAGTTCAAGTTAAAGTCAAATTCAAGATCAAGCTCAAGAGCCCTTGAATTTATATTTGAAAAGGCGAATTCAGAGGAATCATAGAGATTGTAACACTCGCACTTGAAATAATAAATACGATTGTTGCATAATTTTCCGTTCTTGATTATTGTTTTCTCGACGCGAATTTTATTGTCTACCGGGGGAGTATTCATTTTAAATGTGAAACAGATGTAGTTATCAAAACAATTAATCTTTAGGATCAGAGAGATGGTTTTTCATTCATAGAAAGAGAATTCAAAAAATTGAAGGCTAGATATATTAATTAATGATATATATATATACATAGTTCATGAAGATGGTCCTGGACACAGAAATTAATGAAGGTGAGGGTAGGGGCTGGAAGAGGGGGGTGGGGGTGGGGGACACTCATCTGACATAGGAGGAGGACAATAGCACACAGTAATACATTCACGTGCACTTCTTCAATTGTATCCTTCCAAAATCCTAATATCAGAATGTCCCTACACACTACCCCCTACCCCTTACCTCACTTACTAAAGTCAGCACAGTGCAATTTTTTTAAACACATCTATTATCCATCTCTCTCTGTGTAGCAGCCTTCTCCCACACGTGTCCCTTTGTACTCTTCTCTATTCTCCAATGGTAATGCATCTCAGATCTTCTGCACCAGTTATCCTTCCCTTGTTTTTATTAATTTGCTGCTTTGGAATGGCATCTCCTCATTACTTCAACTCACCTTAGCTAGTAGCTATATGTTTATATCTTTCACACACTCAATAATAAGGCGTACATCTTCAGCTAACAAACAATTCATCACAATTTTATACACGTTTAAATGTATATTTGAACAAACTCAAAGTTGGTCAATTGAAGTCAAGCTAATTAAAGGACATATTTATTTATTATGCCATTATAAAAACATATACATGTTCGATTGAATGCTAAGTGACACTACTTCTACCTAATTAATGATATGAAAACTACCAACACAAGTTATGATAGAATGATAAGTATTCCTTCATTTTTAACCAGCGATTTCGAATTTGATTCCCCTATATACAAGTCTCTTTATTAGGGAGTGGATGTGGGTACCCAACACTCAACACCGCGTACCGGATGAAAAATAATAAAAACAAATATGAAACTGGAGTTAATGAAAGAAATCTAAAGGCAATTGGTGTAATCCTGAACATGATAGAGTTCTATCGTTGGCGGCTGTAAATAAAAAATGTCGTTAAACTATTTTTAAGGTTAAGTGGTAGAATATAATTGACGCCAACACTACTAACTGCTGAAAAATCAACATATGTCAATGTTAAATTGCCAGAAAATTTGGTTAAAATTTGATCAGAAAATTTAAAAAACTATAATATTTTTTTATTTTAAAATAAACTGATTTTTTTCCCCCTTTTTTAGTTAAAAGGCTAAAAATACTTTAAAAAGTAAAATAACATAGATAAAATATTATTCTGACCAAAAAGATTTTTCCATAGGTAAAATACCATTCTAGCCAAATTTTCTGGCCAAAACGATTTTTCATTGGCATTAAATATTTTTCAAAATAAGTACCAGTAGGCAGTAACAATCTTTTTATTTGATGCATATTTCAAAAAAGGAAAAGAAAAGAAAATCTATGATTTAGCATTAATTAATGGCAAAATAATTCTACTATTAGAAACAAGTGATCACAAATCTTTTTAGTCCTATTATTCTAGTATTGATTATGAAATGATCAAAATTAAGAAATTTAGAGCTGGATCTTGGGAAAATCAAATACAAGTAAAAAAAGAAGTAAAAATTGTACGGGTCAGGGATATTATAAAGGTAACTAAGTAACCCGGCCCATAACTCTCTTTTGCCGCAGTTCGTGCTTGTCAAGTATAATATGCATATCTATCAAGTTCTCTACTTAATTTTATTTTTCTCTCTCTAAAACAGTTTTTGCCCATCTTTCAAACTCCTCCTCCCAAAAATCTTTACCTTCTTATTAGGGTTTACTTAAAAAAAAAAAAAAAAAAAGACTTGGTTATTGATATGTATGTGTTTGGTTCTACTAATCGAAAATCTTAGAGTAAAGTTGTTGCTTAAGATCTAGAAATCTGAAGAAAAGGGCCGGCGGGTATGCAATCAGATTATGAAATGGCTGGGATCCATCATGAGAGAAACCAACAGTCAGCACAAATGGAAGAGCAGCATAGATTCATGGTGGAAAATAATGCTTCAACTTCCTCGCCATTTTACACAATAAACCCAAACTATCACTTCCCTCAGCCTCATCCTCATCCTCTTCTCCAACAAATCAACAATTTACCGATTACTCAACAGTTTTTCCAGTATCAACATCCTCATTACAGATCCATGTCCATGTTAGAGCAGCAACAAGAAGAAATAAGGCTAGACCACTCTCAGACGGCGGAATTAGTGCAAGGTTCATTTTTTCCTGTAAGTGAAGGACAGGAAGATGCTTTGATTCGTGGGAGTGAGCGATACTGTACACAGCCTCGACAAACTTGTTTAGCTGTGTGGCAAAACCAAGAAGATTCTGCTATTATTAAACAACCTTTTTGGTAATCTATTCTGCACTCAATCACATGTAAATTATAATTACCTTCTCCCGTACACCCTCTATTAATTAATGACCCTACTAGCTACTCTATTAATATTTATTTATTTATTTTAATTTGGGTTTGTAGGAAAGAATTTTCAAATGGGAATGCAACTGAGAGAAACAAACAAGATGAAGATCAAGAAATGTATCGATCTGAAGAAAATATTATCAAGAGCTTAGAAGAAAATAAATTCGGAGAGTTAGAAGCTATTTATGGTGACGATATTCATCGAATTGCATCTGAATCTGTTCTCACAACGAACCACAATGTCTCTTTTCCTGAATTGGCTCTGAATGATTCAAATCAAGCCATGGCTGCTGAAATCGATAATAATAATAATAATATTGGATCAGAAAGTGCATCCGTTGGAGGAAGAGAAGTAGAAGCACTTCATAAAAGGAAGAGAGCAAGAGAATCCATGTCAAGATTTTTCAAATCCTTAGTGAAGAAACTCGCGAAACAACAAGAGGATCTACAAAGGAGTTTCATGGAAACGATTGAGAGATTAGATCAAGAAAGAAAAGAAAGAGAACAAGTGTGGAGAGAACGAGAATTGGCAAAGCTTCAAAAAGAAGAAGCTGCTAGAGCCCATGAAAGAAGTTTAGCTTCCAGTAGAGAATCTGCTCTTGTTTCTTGCTTGGAAAAACTCACTGGTCAGAAGATCAATTTTCAACCATTCAAGATCAAGGAAGAACAAAATCATTCTAGTTTAGTGAAATTCATGAAGCGATGGCCTCAAGCTGAAGTTGAGGCCTTAATTCAGATTAGAACTAATTTGGAATCCAAGTTTGCTACTACTCCAAAAGGGCTACTTTGGGAAGAAGTAAGTAACTCAATGTCGTTAATGGGATTTCAGAGAAATGCCAGAAGATGCAAAGAGAAGTGGGAGAATATGCATAAGTGTACTAGTGTCAAGAGAAGAAAAGAAATCACCAGGGAACAGTTGAATAGTGACTTTGTAAATCAAGGAATTCATGATAAAGATGAAAATGGAAGTAAGAAAGAGGATATGGAAGAATAATGAAGGATACAAGAGAATGAATGAGATAGCCAAGCTATAAGTTCCTTTCAGGTGGAAGCTTTTTATTTTATTTTTTGTTCTCTTTTCTGATCATTTCTTTTTATGTGTACTGCTATTTGTTCATCCTGTCATTTCATTTTCTTCCAACACTGATGAATTTTCATGTCCTTTTTGATGTATTTATTTCATAGTGCTTTAAAGTCTCAAGTATTGTGTAGGGCATACCAACACAACTTTAATTTGTCCCAAAAGATATCCAAAACATGGTGTCTTGTGTAATTAGCACATACTTGAACTAGTTCAACTACATTTCTTTTCATTTTTAATTCGTCAAACTTTGGTGCAACAATTATGGATTAAAAGAAAACAATACTCGTGACATGAAAACCGAGGAAATGAATGATGGTTGGGGAAACATTATGAAAGTTTAACATGACAAACAACTTGTCACACACTCTCTCTCCCAATTTTTTAAGATGCTTGAGATTTAAACTTTTAAATTTTTTTCATGAATTCGGACATTAGAAATTTTACATCTTTTAGATAAAATTTAAACATTTGAAACTATGTAAAAAATATATTTTTTAAAAAGAATGATATACTTTGATTTAACACGGAGTTTAAGAAAAAAAGAAGATTTTTCATCCAAATTAAAAATTAAAATTATGTCAGATGTATCAAAATGTCTTTCAATCTTATGGTCCTAAATTAAAGTTATGTTAAATGTACCAAAATGCTTTTTAATCTTGTGGCTACCAAAAAAAGGAAATGGTCATTCTTTTTTAAACATACTAGAAAAGAAAGTAGGTCATTCTATTTTAAATAGAGGGAGTAATAATGAGTAAAGACATAAAGACACAATCAAAGTTGTTCCGTATTTGCATAAAGACACGTTAACTTTCCAAGTGTCCTATCACCCCACAAAACTATTTAATATCGTTGTAAATGGGTCATTTTGACCCATTCCCTCGTCTATGTAGTGGCGCGTGTTGCTCACTCCCTGTGATAGAATTCAATCCGACCCGACCCGACCCTATTCTCTGAAGAAAAGTCGTCTTCTCCTTTTCTTTTCTTATTTCTCAACTTTCCATAAAATCTGAAGAAATAGAAAAGTTTTCTCGCCGTGTTGGTGTTGATAATCTCGTTGTTGATGTGTCTTAGTGAAGATTTTTGGAGGGACAAAGAATTAAAGGTTTAACAGGTTAGGGTAGAACATATGATAAATATCTTCTTTTTTTCGATTATTATGATTTTAGGGATTATTATAGTGTAAAAGTGTTGAAATCGACCTACTATAGTTGCCATTGTTAGGATTTTATAGTTTTTCGTTGTGTTTTTGAGTAATTGCTACTGTAGGGCTATGGAAAAAAACATGAAATCGAAAAATTAGGGCTATCAATGGCTATTTTGGGTTTAAATTTGGGGAAGATGATATAAAGTGATTAAATAATTAATAATAAAGAAAGAAAATGACACGTGGCACTTTTAAACTGGTCCATGGCAGTGAAAATGCTGCATGACGCGCCTCATGTGCGTGGTAACAACCGAGATGAGGAAATGGGTCAAAATGGCCCATTTACAAAGATATTAAATAGTTTTGTGGGGTGATAGGACACTTTGAAAGTTAAGGTGTCTTTATGCAAATACGAGACAACTTTAATGGGGTCTTTATGTCTTTTCTCGAGTAATAATTAACAACTTAAAATATTTAAAAGACATAAAAAAAAACTTCTGATCAAAGAAAAATTTGGTTAACTCTCAAAATTCAATTTGTATCACAGGTGGACCATTTCAGTTTGTTTGTCTGAGTTTGACTATGGACCATTTCAGTTTGTTTGTCCTAGTTTGACTTGACATGAATATATGCAGAATGTATCAAAATATATTTTTTAAAATATAATGGTTTTAAACATGTAATGTGGAAAGTGGAAATCATGGAAAGTGGAAATCAAAAAATTGTACAAAAAAGAAATAGACATTTTTTTTCGACGGACTAAAAATGAAAGTAAGACAAAATTAAAACACATATACATGGTAGAATAAAAATTCTTTACCGTAGGTTAAATCTCTATTATAAAATACATTGAGGGGTATTCTTTTTCCTATATTTATATCCTACATTTTCAACTATATTTTACTTTAGTACCAGGTGAGCATATTCGCAATGCGAGATTGAGGTATGCATTAAATATAAACTATATAGTACATTTATTTCATTCAATAAGGTGGTCTACTGTCAACGACCAAACAATTTTTTTGATATGCTTTTCTTTTTTGTTCTTTTTAGCCGTTGTATCCCTCTTTCCATTCTTTGAACATAGTTATATTGGCTTGGACACATGGGTGGAGTAATTTTAGGCAAATGATAATTTGGTGAATAATTTTTGTCAAAAAATCATATTATATATATAAATATTAAACGTCAGTTATTATGAATGTATATTTAATTATGCACATTCTTAATAGAAGGCGAATCTAGAATTTAAGCTCAATGGGAGCACCATTAATCTTATTCACCTTAATTGTTATAACATTCTTATTAACAATTGTTGGGTTTAGTCTGTTATCTCCTGTATTCAGGTTAGTAAAAAATACAGAAACAGAAAAAGATGAAATTGACAGAATGATTTTTAATCTGAGACAAAGAAATATCTGTGTTTCCTTAAGAAATTTAATCCCCTCACTGTACCCGAGGTTGCAGATTAATTCCTCCCAAGATAAAATGGATTAACATGTTAAAGAAGTAGCAGTACCTCAAACTTCAATAACTTCAGCAAACGCAAGAACAGCAACAAGAGCACACACAGACTCAGTCGATCGACAATTTTATTTATGTAAGAAAATGTATGCAGAGAGGAAAATTTTTAGTGTTTGAAAAAACGAAAAAGACCTCTTATTTATAGCCATTTGCAGCAAGGAACGCGTCTGTTCAGAAAAATCTGTTCAGACTCGTTTTTTCCAGAACATTGTGTCTTTTGGGAAAAGTAACGACTTTTCGAAAGGATTACCATTTGGGAAAAGTAACGACTTTTTGGAAGGATTACCATTACACGTGAATTTCAAATAAATTCAGTTGCGCCAAATTAATTTTGTTATTTAATTAACATTCTGAATTAATTTATAAGAGAAAGGAAATGATTTAACAAAATTGTTAAATAAATTTTGTCCAAAAATATTATCAATCAAATCATTTGCCAAATCCAAATCCAAAGCCAAAGCCGAAGCCGAAGCCGAGCGAGCGACGGCGATGGCGCGAGGGGGCACCTTCTTCTTAACCCTTTAAGAACTAAAGGAAGTGTTTCCTAATATAAGGACAACAATTTCCTTTCTTCTACCAATATGGTAAAAATGACCTTTCATTTGCACTTTTGCAATGACTTTTCATTTTCCCTCCAAAATTGGTTCCCCCACTTTCATTGGTTCTTCCACTTTCCATTTTCTCTTTTTATTTCCCATTCACACCTTGCTAAACCCAACAATCCCCCACATGAATGGGAAATGGCTATTGTTAAAATATATGCATGAAAAACTTGTGTGTCTCGTAAGTAAGGGTTAATCACATCTGGATAAGTAGGTTTCCCTTTAAACTTTCCGTAGTGAACATATATCGGATATACTCGGTCAATCGGTAGATTTGATATCTTTGAACCATCGAGTTTTAGTGTATACCTAGACAACATAAGTCACACAATCAACCCTTGAACTGTTTTTGGTTCTCATTGTTTTGTTCGTTTCAGCCATGAACACATCTCGGTTAATAAGTTCTTAGAGAACTGGCCTTACCGGATTCTCCTTGAAGCGGCTTACACTTCACACTTACATATGTGGTTCTAATTGTGTTATCACGTAGATACACTATTTGATGTACCCTGTATCAAACTTAGAAACCATTAAAAAGTCTTTATGCCTTTATCCTGGTTACTGAACATTGTCTCATCATGAGAATGGACCATCAAATATGTTTTAACAATGTTGAACCGTTATCTATGACTTTGTTTGATTTCCTTGAACCTAGATCTTGGGATCTCCAGTCTTCTAGGTAGAGTTACCGCCACGATGACTTGTTCTCGGCCATAGTCATATTCTCGTCAATGATCTCTCAACTCCCTCTCTAGTTTGGCCTTTTGTAAGTGGATCCGACACATTATCCTTTGACTTTACATAGTCAATTGTGATAATTCCACTAGAGAGTAGTTGTCTAACAAAGTTATGTCTTCGTCTTATGTGACGAGACTTCCCGTTATACATAACACTTTCAGCCCTTCCTATTACAGCTTGACTATCGCAGTGTATGCATATAGGGGCCATTGGTTTGGGCCAAAACGGAATATCTTCTAAGAAATTCCGAAGCCATTCAGCTTCTTCACCTGCCTTGTCTAAGGCGATGAATTCTGACTCCATTGTTGAGCGAGCTATACATGTTTGTTTGGATGATTTCCAAGATATTGCTCCTCCACCAATAGTGAAAAGATATCCACTCATGGATTTCGTTTCAGTTGACCCAGTAATCCAATTTGCATCACTATATCCTTCAAGAACTGCTGGATATTTGTTGTAATGCAAAGCATAGTTTTGAGTATCTTCTAAGTACCCCAAAACTCTCTTCATTGCCAACCAATGATTTTGATTGGGATTACTTGTGTATCGACTCAGTTTACTTATAGCGCAGGCTATGTCTGGTCATGTACAATTCATGACATACATCAAACTTCCCAATACTCTGGCGTAATCCAATTGAGACTAACTTTCACCTTTATTCTTAGCAAGATTAAGGTTCACATCAATTGGGGTCTTTGCCTTTTTGAAATTCAAATACTTGAACTTTTCAAGTACCTTTTGAATATAATGATATTGAGACAATGCTAGACCGTTAGGAGTTTTGTGAATCTTTATTCCCAATATCAAATCGGCTACTCCTAGATCTTTCATATCAAACTTACTAGCAAACATACACTTAGTAGCTTTTATATTGGCAATGTCATTGCTCATTATCAGCATGTCATCCACATATAGACATACAATGACTTCCTGACTCGTAGTGTCTTTAATGTAAACACATTTATCACACTCATTGATCTTAAATCCATTTGACAACATGGTTTGATCAAACTTTGCATGCCATTGTTTCGGTGCTTGTTTTAGTCCATAAAGTGACTTAACAAGTTTGCATACTTTTTTTTCTTTGCCGGGAACAACGAAGCCCTCAAGCTGTTCCATGTAGATTTCTTCCTCCAGCTCTCCATTTAAGAATGCGGTTTTCACATCCATTTGATGGATTTCGATACCGTATACTACAACTAGGGTAATTAACATCCGAATTGATGTAATCCTAGTCACTGGCGAGTATGTGTCAAAATAATCAAGACCTTCTTTCTGTCTAAAGCCTTTGACAACAAGTCTTGCTTTATATTTGTCAATAGTTCCATTATCTTTCATCTTCTTTTTGAAGATCCATTTTGAACCCCAAAGGTTTGTTCCCTGGAGGAAGATCAACCAACTCCCAGGTATGATTGCTTAAGATTGATTCAATCTCACTATTGACAGCCTCCTTCCAAGAGGTTGAGTTGCTAGACAACATCGCTTCCTTGAATGTTTGAGGCTCACTTTCAAGAAGGAATGTTACAAAATCAGATCCAAATGAAGTAGTTGTCCTTTGACGTTTACTGCGCCTTGGACTCTCTTCATTGGTTTCATTCTCTTTTGGTTCTTCTCGAGGTTGTTTAGACCCCCTACTAGATAACTCAAGTCTAGTTTTATACGGATAAATATGTTCAAAAAATTTAGCATTATCTGATTCCATTACCGTATTATCATGAATATACGGATGTTCGGACTTATGAACCAAAAATTGACATGCCTTACTATTTGTGGCATATCCAATGAATGCACAATCCACAGTCTTAGGCCCTATTTTCACCCTCTTAGGTATAGGAACCTGGACCTTGGCAAGACACCCCCACACTTTGAAATATTTTAAGTTGGGTTTTCTACCTTTCCATTTCTCATATGGAATAACATGTGTCTTCGTATGAGGCACTCTATTGAGTATTCGATTTGCCGTAAGGATAGCCTCCCCCCACAAGTTTTGTGGTAAACCTGAACTTATAAGTAAGGCATTCATCATTTCCTTTAAAGTTCGATTTTTTCTTTCTACAATTCCATTAGATTGTAAAGAGTAAGGAGCAGTAGTTTGATGGATTATTCCATTTTCCAAACATATTTCTGCAAATGGAGATTCATATTCTCCACCTCTATCACTTCTGATCATTTTGATCTTTCTATCCAACTAATTTTCAACTTCAGTTTTATATTGTCTAAATGCATCTATTGCTTCATCCTTACCATTTAGCAAATAGACATAACAATATCTAGTGCAATCGTCAATAAAAGTTATGAAATACTTTTTCCCACCACGTGTTAGTGTTGACTTCATGTCACAAATGTCAGTGTGAATTAGTTCTAAGGGATATGAATTCCTTGCAACAGATTTATAAGTATGCTTAGCATACTTAGATTCAACGCAAACTTGACATTTTGATTTATTGCACTCAAATTTAGGCAAAACATTTAAGTTAATCAGCTTTCGCAAGGTTTTGTTATTAACGTGTCCCAAATGTTCATGCCATAAACATTTAGACTCAAGCAAGTAAGAAGAAGCAGAATCTTTATTCATATCAACTGCAATTACATTGAGTTTAAAAAGGCCCTTAGTGAGGTAACTTTTTCCTACATACATCTCATTCTTACTTACTACAACATTATCAGAAACAAATACACATTTGAATCCATTCTTAGTCAGAATTGGTATAGAAACTAGGTTCTTTTGCAATTCCAGAACATACGAGACCATGTTCAAAGTCACCATCTTGCCTGATGTCATCTTTAGGAGGATCTTGCCAGTTCCTTCCACTTTTGCAATAGCAAAATTTGCCATAAACAACTTCTCGTCTGTAGGTGATAGAGTATATGATGAAAATAATTCTTTGTTGGCACAAACATGGCATGAGGCACCAGAATCTATCCACTATTCTCTTGGATTTCCAACCAAGTTGCATTCTGAAAGCATTGCACAAAGATCGTTCATCTCTCATTTGGATTCAGCCAAATTTGCTTGATCCTTCTTCTTGTCCTTCTTGGGACCCCTACATTCAGTAGCCTTATGACCATGTTTGCCACAGTTGAAGCAGCTTCCATTGAATTTCTTCTTAGGAGGATTGATCTTTGGACTAGATGCTTTCTTTCTTTTCTTTGATTTTGTGGGATCTTCTTCAACAATATTTACTCCAGATATTGTTGAATTACCACGTGACCTCTTTTCTGCGGCCTTGTTGTCCTCTTTGATTCTCAGTCTTACCGTGAGATCTTCAACAGTCATCTATTTGCGTTTATGATTCAAGTAGTTTTTAAAGTCCTTCCACAATGGAGGTAACTTCTCAATAATTGCAGCCACTTGAAAAGCATCATTCACAACCAATCCTACATTAAAGATTATGTGAGTATTAAGAATAAACTTAATATTTCCAACATAGGTATTAAATAAATGTATACCTTCAGCAAGGAGATCATGGATTATGACCTGCAATTCTTGAACTTGGGTGACGACGGTCTTATTGTCTATCATCTTATAGTCCAGAAACTTTGCCACAATAAACTTCTTCATTCTGGCATCCTCTGTTTTGTACTTCTTTTCTAAAGCATCCCAGAATTCTTTTGAGGTTTTCACATTACTGTACACATTGTACAGATCATCCTGCAGGCCACTCAGAATATAATTTTTACACAAAAAATCAGAATGTGTCCATGCTTCTGTTACCAAGAATCGTTCTTCAGGCGGAGTTTCATCCGACATAACAGGAACATTCTCATTAATGAACCTCTGCAGACTCAACGTAGTCAGATAGAAGAACATCTTTTGCTGCCATCTCTTGAAGTCAACTCTAGAAAACTTTGCAGGTTTCTCAGCCGGTGCTAGGGCAGCATTTGAACGATTGTGTGCAACCGATGTTGTTGCAGCACTTACTGTTCCAGCATTTACTTGACTTGAATTAGTCATTTTTCTATCACAAATGGCAGACAATTTAGTATGTGAAATACTACCAGTAAAGAATAAATCCTTACACCGACTGTTTCTGATTTAACGATAAAGTTTTTATGTTCTTTTAATCGTTAACCGAATGAATTTTAAAAATTCAAACAGAGTAGAAAACCATAAAGGTTTTAATCTCCAGAAACCTCAAATACAAAAACTATTAAATTTCTTAAGATTGTTATCTCTTGTACTCAGGTTATTAAAAAATACAGAAACAGAAAAAAGATGAAATTGACAGAATGATTTTTAATCAGAGTCCACAGAAACCACTGTGTTTCCTTAAGAAATTTAATCCCCTCACTGTATCCAAGGTTGCAGATTAATTCCTCCCAAGATAAAACGGATTAACCTGTTAAAGAAGTAGCGGTACCTCAAACTTCAGCGAACGCAAAAACAGCAACAAGAGCACACACAGACTCAGTCGATCGACAACAATTTTATTTATGTAAGAAAATGTATGCAGAGAGGAAAATTTTCTGAAAAAAACGAAAAAGACCTCTTATTTATAGCCATTTGCAGCAAGGAACGCGTCTGTTCAGAAAAATCTGTTCAGACCCGTTTTTTCCAGAACATTGTGTCCTTTGGGAAAAGTAACGAATTTTTGGAAGGATTACCGTTTGGGAAAAGTAACGACTTTTTGGAAGAATTACCGTTACACGTGAATTTCAAATAAATTCAATTGCGCCAAATTAATTATGTTATTTAATTAACATTCTGAATTAATTTATAAGAGAAAGGAAATGATTTAACAATCAATCACATCATTTGCCGAAGCCGAAGCCGAGCGAGCGACGACGACGGCGCGAGGAGGCACCTTCTTCTTAACCCTTTAAGAACTAAAGGAAGTGTTTCCTAATATAAGGACAACAATTTCCTTTCTTCTACCAATATGATAAAAATGACCTTTCATTTGCACTTTTGCAATGACTTTTCATTTTCCCTCCAAAATTGGTTCCCCCACTTTCATTTGTTCTTCCACTTTCCATTTTCTCTTTTTATTTCTCATTCACACCTTGCTAAACCCAACATAGTCTTGCTCCAAAAAAATAAAATAGAAACAATTAATTTGGTTTAAATTCAAGGTATACTTGATGTTTCGTATATCCAAAAAAGAAGACTGAATTTTACCATGGATCAATGTTTACCTATGCTTGTGTTGGGAAAATAATTATCTCATTCAAAAATATTATCCAAAGTCCAAACTAAATATAAAAAACAAAATAGTAACAATGAGACCAAATATTTTAACATGGTAAAATATAATATTTGAACAAATCAATATAATAAACTTTGTGGCCGGTGTCAAGAAATTATTATATCTTCAAAAGAAAAATACTTCTTTAATTCACACGATGCAATATTACTCTCACATTATTTTCTCACCAACTATATATAGAAAATACTCTGTGGATTACTCTCTAATATTCTCTATTGCTTCCTTTGTTTGATGTACCAAATAAGAAGCTCATGAGGGTCTCCTTTTATAGCCAAATGAACAACCCAATCAAAACCAATTAGAATTGGTTTCTGCAACTTACAATATTAATTGCAATTATGTGGCATAACTTGTTACTGCATGTTACAACTTCTTGTTGCTGCAGCTTGTGGCCACTTCCCTTGTTTTTAATATTTGTTTGATTGATCCTACAAATATCTTTTTCAATTTTTATCCTTTTCTTCACTCCATAATTTGATCTTAATTTTCAAATGTCCTTAAATTTGAGAGGTTTTGCGAATATATCCATGCCTTAATTCTAAGATTTCACATACTTGAATTCTAGTTCCTTTTTGGAAATGCATTATCTAATGAAGTACTATCTTATGACTACATATTTGCTTCGATTATGATACACCGGATTCGTAGTAAGTGCTTGTGTGAATTGTCAACACAAATCATCGTGGCTTTCATTTGTGGTAAATTAAGCTCTTTTAACAATCTTATCAGCCAAATAGAGTGTCACATACATAATGTTGTTGCCACATATTCAACATCACAAGTCGATAGTAATAATTGACTGCTTCTTTGAACTCCCAAAAAAAAAAATATACAATCACCCAAGAAAAACTCAAAATTATTTGTGTTTTTTCTATGATCAGTATCACCCTCATAATCATATTACGAAATTTTTCTATGTTTAGAAGAAGAATAAAATAACTCAAGGTGTATCACACCTTTTATGTAACAAATAATTCTTCTAACAACCTTCAAGTGAGTGAAGTTAAGAACTTCTATGAAACAACTTATTGTTACAACTACAAAGAGTATATATGACCTTCTATTGGTTAAGTACCTCAGACTTTACGTTAAACTTTTGAAAAAGGTGAAGTCCTCCTTTTCACCATCATCAAACTTTGACAATTTCGTTCCACAATCAAGCAAATTGAACCTCTTCAAAATTTTCTTTTGTATAGATTTCTTGATATATAAAGATGGTAGGCCTAAATAATATGACATGAGCCCTATGTTGTATGTCATCTCAAACTCAAACGGAGCTTATCTGTAAGCTTCAAACAAACTTGAGTTATTGTTTGTTAAAATAAGATCATCAACATAAAGGTAAAGAAGCAGAATATCTCAATCAATATGAACTTTAATGTAAGATGCATATTCATGGAGACAATGAACAAATTTATTGTCTTGAAAATACATGTTTATGTGACTATTCAAAGCATGTGAAGCTTGCTTTGATTCATGTAAAACTTTCTTCAACCAAAGCACTTTATTTTCATGGTTTTAACTACAAAGCTCAATAGTTACTCAACATAGACTTCCTCATCGATCAAGATATCCATTCAAGAATCCCATCGTGACATCTAGTTAATGGATTTTCACTTTTGTGCTGCTAAATATATAAGAAAATTGATCATCTTCATGTGGAAAACAAGTGCATATAGACTTCCTCATATCAATTTTACGCATGTCATTGCTTGTTACCATTAGCCACAAATTTTGCATTGTATATCTCCATGAGAATTTTTCTTCGTCTTGTATATCCATTGCTTGATGATCCTTGAAAAGAGTGGTTAACTCCCAATGTTGTTCTTCTCTATTAACTTGATCTTCTCCTTCATGGCTTGTCTCCACCTTTTATTTGTAATAGCTTCATCAAAATTCATCACCTCACTATAACAAAAAAATCAAAATTAGTAATTTCTTTAAGTATATATCATCGTAGAACTCTAGAATGCTCCTCATTCTTTGTGGCCTTTAGTTTGAACTCTCTTGAAAAGAAAGAGATGCAATATTTTGCTGGTAAATGAGGTGGGATTGCATCCGGTGCAAATGTCATGTTCTCGTGTTCTTCGTCATCTCCAAAGTATGAGAAAGAAAATCATTTATTCTTTTTTATTGAGTCTATGATTTTCTGTTGCTTCTTCATCAAATTCAACATTTCACCACTATGTTGGTGTTTCTTGGGTTGTATAACTTGCAACTCTTTGAACTTGTGTCACAGCCAATAATACATACTTGACATTTTGGTCGTCAAGTTTTGCTCTCCTTTGACCACATGAGCATAGGCTATGCTCCCACATATTCTCAAGTGTTTGACCCTTACTTTTATTTTACTTCATGCTTCTTGAGGGATTTGATCCCTAAAATTTCTTATTGAAAACCAGTTTCTCAAATGAACTGCATTAGATAGCCTCCGCCCAAAATTTCTTTGACATACTTTATCTTTCAACATACATCGAGCATATTAAGAATTGTCCTATTCTTCTCTCTGCAACTATATTTTATTGGTGCATATAAAGTATCATTAAAAGGCGATAAATTCAGTGAAACTAACAAAGTCATTTAATTTTTTTGGAAGTGAATTCATCTCCTCTATCGAACCTTAAAGCATTTATTTCATAGTCACTCTCTTTTTTTACAAGTGTTTTGAAAATTTTAAAGGAAAAATTAGTGAACACGTCTTATGTTTCCCTTATTTCCAATATCCCCTTCTATTTTTAAAAACCTCTAAATCCTTATTTCTTTAATGTATCCGAGCTACATATTAATGTATCCGAGCCAGTATTTAATGTATTTGAGCTACATATTATGTATCCGGTTTATTTTATAATGTATCTGAGCTAGTTTTTAATATATCCGAGCTACATATTATGTATCCGGTTTATGTTATAATGTATCCGAGATACTCTTTACTGTATCCGAGCTACATATTATGTATCTGATTTGTGTTACTTTTTAAGGGATTAATGTAATTACAAATTAAAGAGGGATAGATTGTAATTTAAACTATGTGATTCCTAAAAAAATTTGCAACAAAAGCTTTTGATTTTTGCTTCAAGAATTACACCCAAGTTTTTCTACTAAAATCATCAACAAAGAGCAAAAAATATTTGTCACACCCCTTTCTATTTCTCAGCCCATTGAAAGAACGAGTTTTTTATTTCACCAATTTGGATCATGAATAAAAGATCCAGTTACTTAAATACATTTAATTAAGAAGATGTTTTAAAAAAAAATTAAAAAAAAATCTCCCTATACGAAAATCTCTAGGTGAATTCCTATGAAATAAATCCCCAACTAAATCTGCAACAACATTATTTTTATGTAATCTTCCATATACAAAAGTTCCCAAATAAATTTTCATGAAGTTAACCCCCAACAAAATTCGCAGAACTAAAATTTCAGGTAATTCCTCAACTAAAGAGTTTCTAGGTAAATATCCCTAACTAAGTCGGCGAGTAGCTTTACTTGGAGATTTTGCTGCAATGTAACGAATGAATTTATTTTTGCTTGACAACTTGTGAATTTACTTATGAAAATGTTACATGCAAATTACTTTCCATAATTAATTCCCTAATAATGTTTTAGCGCAAAATGACGCCAAATTTACTATAGATTTTTTTGAAAAATATTATTTGCAGGTAAAATATTCTAAAACTCAGGAATTTTAAATATCTGCATATAAATCTGTGAGAAATTCCTGCGAATATAATACTCATGTAAATCTCTA